TGCAGCAGAACACATTCTAAGAAATAACCATAGAGCCACAAGACTATTTCCTGCGATTTACCAGGAACAACAGTGACGATTTATAGGTAGTTGATGCAACATCAGTAAGGAAACTTCATATGGGTCTAGTTAGAAAATGTGACACAACTGCAAGTGTGCATCATTCTCGTAACCACACATTGTTGGTCACATGGAACAGCAATGCAAGGCTCCTCCGCTCGCTATTTGGGCACATAAAAATTGGAGTTTTAAGTATGACTTAGCTATAAAAAATGAACAGGAGCTTGTGTTGATCTGAAGCTTATACAGACTGATTCACTCAGCAGAAGTGAAGTGTTTTGCATGCGTGAATCTCATGTAATAACCGAGCAATTTTATTCATTTAGCCTTGGATTCAAGTGCACCCAACCCACGTTACACGAAATGGGCAGATACTCCGGAAACTACAACAATAATTGCAGAAATCATTGACGAGTTCGTGTTGCTAAGTTGAGCATTAGTGAAGCGTCCTGCTTTTTCTGTGTGCTTCAGTGCAGGACCAAAGAGTGAGCATTGAATTTGTTTTAAAAGAGAATGTCATGTTTCCTTTAAAGCAACATTCTTTTCGCAATTCTGTTGAAATTTTGCAAGTTTGTTTTAACCCTCGGTGTTACTGCCGAGAGATTCTCCTTGTGTGCCTTGGTGAATGATAATGCTTTTCAATATGGGTGGGGCTATAATTTGATGAGAGGTCCTCTTGTGATATAATGCAGATAAGGTGGTATCTACGCTTTGGAATATTTTCTAAAAATATGTAGGCGTTTAAGATAAGTGTTCATATATATTATAGAAGATTAATGAGTATGAGTATGAAGTTCAGTTATGAATTTGAAGTTGATATATTTGTTTTAATTAAGAGAGGTATGGTTTTACATATTTGACGATTTAAAATTTGAAGATGTATTTATATATTAGGAAATTTGAACCACATATGGTTAAGTTTTATAATTTTAAATATTGATTTTATAAAACTTGAAATAAAATAAAATAAAATAAAGTATATAAAATTAAGATACTAATAATATTCATTTAAAATATACATATAAATAATTTTTAATATATCTGTAACATTGGTAAATTAATAGATTCTATGTTTTTCTAAAGTAACCTTCAAGAATTTAGAAAAAATGAAGCTTCAACTTTGAAGAAAAAATATAAAATATAGGCCTACAACTAACCAAGAGAATTCTTATTTTACTATTTACAATACTTATAATTTTAACTTATTAACTAAAAAAATCATAGAAAATAAATATTTGTATAAAAAATATAATATCTTTAAATAAAAATCCTCTAAGTTAAAATATATAAAAGCATATTAGAAAAGAAATATTAAATATTTGTAGAAGGATTGGGAAGAATGCTTTGACTGATAATAAGTAAATTATTTATTTTTGAAGTAAAATAGAACAATTTTGTTATGTATTCACAATATTTAATAAATATTTTTCATAAAAAAGCTTCATTCATGCCAATTTACCAAAAAAGTAATATTAATAAAAAAAATAAAAAAGAAGCTTAAATAGATAATTATTAGTGATATCAATTAAGATACATTTATTTGTATTATTATGCATGAATATCTTAAATATAATAGATTTAAATAAATACATAAATTATAAAATAATCATAAAATAATTATTGATATAAAAAATTTGCTTTAGAAATTATTAATGAAATTGTAATTTTTTTGAGTGTTAAAGAGATTAAAAAAAGATACAAAAGGACTTCTATCAAAAATGCAGATTTAGAATCAAATAAGCTTTTATGTCTTGATATTAGGAAATACTAAAGTAATAAATTTAAATTAAGATACTTTGTTAAATTTCTTTTTTAGAATATTATAGTTTTTAATATGCTATATATGTTTTGGATTTTTTATTATTTCATTTCAAATTTTAAAAACAATGCTTTAAGTCTTAGTAGCAATATGAGCTTAGTTCATTCAAAAATTTATATTGGCTATGTTTAAATATGAGTCTATTTATTCTAAACTTCAATAAAAATTTAAAAAATAAATATATATATTTTTTATATAATAAACGCCCAAATAGGAATTTAAAACTCATTCAATAGTCTTTGAATTCTTAATAAATCTCTTGTAATAAATTATATCTAAAATCACATTTGACATAAAAAATAATATCTAAAAATTTTGAATCAATAAAATTAACTTATATTTTTAATAATAGAACATAATAATATCATTTTTTTATTTTATGAAAATAATATATATATATATATATTATAATATATAAATTTATTATTAACAACCAATAAAAATTCAAATTTAATGGAAATTTTCTTGATAAAATATAGCGCAAACTACATATAAATTTTAAACTAGTACTTTAAAATTCTAACAACAATTTATAAGCAAGTTATCTTGTTACAAACATACATATTTATTTTTAATAGTTACTTAGGTAATATGAATAGATAGAAGTAGATAAAAATAGATTAATTTCATAATATCTTCTAAAAAAGCTTCATAGACCCAGTTTCACATGTATACATGTCTATAGATGATTGATGGTTTAGAAATTTGGCCAACAAGTTAGCTATGTATTACATGTATTAGTAGCTTGTGGTACAAGCTAACAAATGTGGTATACATATATGAAACTTTTCTTGCAAGTTAAGATATGTGGCTTGCAAATTAGACCATATAGTTCTTAGATAGATTATATATATATATAGGCAAGAGTGAAGTCTTCTTCACTCTTGTTAATTCCTTTCTTGCTTCTAGTTTAGTTTCAAGGTCTCTAGTTTTTTGGACTTTTAGCAATAGCTATTTTAGTTTTTTTTTTAATATATATGTATTTTCTTATTTCTATTTTGTCATATTTCTTTGAAAAAAGTATCACTTAAATACAATATACAAATACAGTATACAATACATATAAATCAACAAAATACAATATATGTATATATATATATATATATCTATAATTTCTTTTAGCATGTATGCTCTACAATTATTAAAGAATAAGAACAATATAAAAGCACATGTCATAAAATTACTAAGATGCATATAAATAACTTATAATGTAAGGTAATGATTTGAGCTGATATTAAACTACTAAATGAGGACATAAGCTATCCAAAGTAAATGCAATGGTTATGGGTTCAATCCTATGCAATAAAATTACTTTTATATTTGTTAGAAACCTATTGCTCAAGTGGTTAACTCCCTTGATGTTTCAAAAATAAAATAAGAATAATGTAAGGTAAGATAGTATTCTTTACTTATAAATAATGAATGCACTTTGATATTAAATGGCTTGATTTTTTTTTAACTCCTAGCATTATATATACAAATTAAGTTTAATCAATAAATAATCTTTAGGATAACTCTTATATCCTTAAAAAATATTTAGATAATCTCACTCCTAATGTAATATAAATTATACTTATATAAAATTATAAAAATTATGTAATGGTAGATATCTTTACGAATATTCCTATCAAATAAAAATAAAAATAATACATTCACTCATAATTGTCTTATAAAACTATCAAACATAAGTATTAAATAAATGGATATATATACTATTTTATATTTTAAGTAATATATATATTTTTAAATTCTAATTTTTATAATTTTTAAAAAAAATTATAAAATTTTTAAATTAAAATTTTTAATTTTTTTCAATTTTTCAAAATAAATATATATTATAATTTTTAATTCCAAAAAACATAACTTATTTAGATCTCACTAAGTCAAAGCAATATTTTTATGATATTTATAATCAATATTAAAATTTTAATTTTTTATACAAAAAATATTAAAACTCTAATAAAATTAAAAAAAATGATGAAGCTAAAAATCTTGAATATAATTAGTAGTTATATCCAATTAACTTTAAAAAGTGATCATTTTATAAAATGCATATAAATCATAAAATGATATAATATCATCGTTGGATTTTGGGCATGATTAGAATCTTATATTTATCTTTTGGTAATATAGCTTTTAGAATTGAGAAAATAAAGTCTTGTTTTTCATTAGATGATGTATAAAATGAAGTCTTGTTACACATTGGATTACTAAATTAAAATTTTAATTGAGTATTTATATTATTTAATTAGATAAAAAATCAAAATCAAAATTATATACACACATATACATACATACATACATATATATATATATATATATATATATATATATATATACTAGTTTACCTGCAACTTTAATAAAAAATCCAACAAATATAAACCTAGAATTGTCCTCAAATCCCTTACAAAACATTTTAACATTATGTAATACATTAGAAATTCAAAAAATATAAAAAAATTTAAAAATACTATGAATCTATCTCATAATGCAAAAAAGTAAACATTTACTAATAATTCAAAAAATTATAAAGAAAAAATATAGATTAGTGCACTTCAGCAATAACAAAAGAGAGACTATAACATTTAGGTTTTTAATTCTTACTATTTGTATGATAATTTGTCAATAGAGATCTTGTTCTAACAACATGGCAATTAATACTTCCTACATGGGTAATCATAAGAACCTTCATATTATGTAACATGATGTAAAATTGTGCCATTTACAAATGAAACAAGTAGCAAATGAAATAAATTAATGTCCTATGTGCAACAATTTTACCAAAGTAACACCACATGCCACATGTTCCTCAATTTCAACAATTAGTTTTGTGATATGCATTCACAAAGACATATGTTCTTCTTTATGCCCATCAATGAAACTAGAATTCATTGATCAACAAACCATGTCACATGCATCCAAAGGTGAAAAGCTTTGCTTATCCATCTACATGCTTTGCCACCCACTATTATTATCAAAGGAGGATAAAAATAATGTAAGAAGAAGAGAAAAAGACCTTCTTACACAATAATAAGGTGGTGGAGATAATAAACATTTGTGCCAGTCAGCTGATCCCCTACCCCAGAAGAAAAAGCCCTCGTTCCACGTCATCAGTTCACCTGGAGCGCCACGTCAGCGAGGCAATGTGCACGTCAGCACGTCATTCACCAGGGTGAGATTTGAAACGGGTGGTTATTCCTCCTCTTCTCCTGCACCAAAGCCGACGAAGAAACAAACAAACAAACAAAAACAAACAAACATGGCGACGACGACGACGACGCTGCTGCTGCTCTCGCGGCACCGCGAGGGATCATCCTCCCCGAACACGACCACCACCGTTACGACGAACGAAGCAACAAAACCTCTACAACAAAAACAACAACTAGCAGAGGAAGAAGACTAGGAAGAAGAATAGATAACGCAGGGCGAGGCGGGATTGAACCAGGTGAATTTGTATGTAGCGAAGGAGCTACTAGAGAGAGAGAGAGAGAAGAAGTGCAATCCACGTCGATGGGACCAGATCTCCGATGCGCGAATAATAATAGCCAGGGGTAGTGTAGTAGTAGCAGTCGTGCACTCTTCTCACGCCTTGTTGATTCCGACGCCATGGTGTGGACTCTTGCTTCATGGAAGTGAGTGAGTGAGTGAGTGAGTGAGTAGTACATGTGTGTGTGTGTGTGTGTGTCGTGGCAACGTCGCTGATGCCAAGCAGTCAGCTAGCCGGCCGACTCGGCAGCCCACCTGCCCGCGTTTCGTTTCTCTACGTTGGGTAGGTTCGAATTAGGTAGAGATTTGCGAGTGAACGCATGAGTTGCGATTGGGAGATAGTCGCATCGTAAGGGCGAACTGAAGCTACTGGAACGCATAGACAGACAGACAGACAGACAGACAGACGTACAGACACGCAGAGTTGTAGTGAGCAGTGACGCGATCGATTCCGGCGATGTGTGTGTGTTTACCGTGGGAGTGGGGGATCGGAAGCCAGTAGCAGCCAGCTGCGGGGAGGATCACATGCGTCCTGCGTGCGTCGTGGCCACTGAGCGTGGTCCACTCGCGTGGACGATCCAATGAGCTCGAGAGGGTTTGTCACCGGGTTTCACAGGTTGTGACACAGTTTATGGGAGATCGTACAAGTTCGCGGTGGCCAGCATCAGCGTGCGGGATTTTGTGGGTACGAACTTGGGGAAGGGGAGATAGAGAGAGAGAGAGAGAGAGAGACGTTTGTGAGTTTTTGAGGTTTGCGAAGCTGCGGAGTGTCGCGGCGAGCGGAGGTGAGGGGATATGTGAGCGCATGGAGTGCTGTGTTGCTGGTGTGGTGGTGTATTCAGATATGGCTTTTTGTTTTTTTGATTTTTTTGTTTTGTGCTTTGTGTTTTTGTGTTTTATTTATTTATTTTTATTTTTAAATTTTTTTGTGACGTTTCGGACGGCCGTGCCTTGGTGGGACGCTTTGTGTGTGCGCAATGGTTGTTGTGTTTGTCGGCTAGCCAAAGCGGGTGGGAGCAAGAGAGGGCTGCGAGCAGATAACTTACGTATGGTTACGCCATTCTTTTTTGTTTTCGAGAATGTTCGCATTGATGCGATTTGTGGCGGATGAGGTGTACCTCTTGATTTTTTTTCGTGTGCGTTTTTTTTGTATTGTAGATCACGCTTTCTGTTTGCGTTCAGGTGGCTTTTTTTATTTGAGATCACCTCTAGGTCCGACAATGCCTTGCAAATGGATAGTCGTCTTTGAGCGGCATCCTCACCTATCAGCGCTACGTAGGTATCTTTTCGTTGAGAGTAGAAGTAGACTCTGAGCGACGATTGTAATAATTTCGGAAATTCGTCTCTGCCAAGGTGCAGGCATCCCATTTTGCATGCTGTTGTCGATGGGCCGTGGATGGTTTCCATGTTTAGTTGTTTTCCACGGGGAGTCAGCAGGCAAAAATCAATTAGAGTTTGAGGTTTGGAACATCAAGGGGTGTGTGAGTGTCATTCTTTGTCTCCCCGGCTCTAAGAGCATATCGACAGATAGTTTTGCATTGTTGAAATCTTCACCATTAATAACCAGCTGTGGGAGATTTTAATTCCCACAGCCGAAATTTTCTTAAGTGGGTGGGATACCTTTTAGAGCCAGTTTTGCAGCATTATTAATTCTTGTATTAAATGTAGGTCAATTTGAAACTTGGAAGGAAAAATGTCGCAGCTCCCCACTCCGAGGTCGGCTGGCGTACCATAGACCGATCTCATCAAAATATTTTGGCGTTGTAACTCAAAGCACTCAAAACTGTTCTCATCATCGACACTCTCCTTTCTCTTTTCTGAGGTAATCAAGTTACAGGACCACTACTACTTGAATATGTTATAACCATCCAGAGTATAAAAGTCCCTTAACCAGAGGGTGTCTACACAGAATGTACGTCGTCGAACTTGACTTAGAATCTGTTTATTGGCACTTGAGATTTCAGAAGGGTTATTGTGACTGCAATGCAACGGCTCTAATGCTCCGTGCAGGTACAAAGACCTTACATACCAAATGTCTTTCCGAGAACTCACCTGAAGTATTGTGGGCTTTTCTGCAGAAGCTCATTAGTTCACAAGCATGAATTACGAACAGATTGGAGGTGGATCAATACTCTCTTGTAGAGAGAAGTAGCTTACTTCTGCGCCTCGCTTGGCAGTGGCATTTCAGTGCACAGAGAGGTCTGGGGCCGGTGAGTTTCCATGAAGGGAGAATGCAATTTCATAAAGTAGGAATGGCTGACAACGTTGTGAAAAGTCCTGAGGTGATCCAAGCGCAAAGGAACCCGGATCAAGTAGGGGATACGCGATGTACAAGGAATGACGGCAAAGTTTGGCGATGTAAAAAGCCTAGAGTGGAAGGTAATCGGTTTTGTACGAGTCATTTAAAACTGTTGCCTTCGGGTGGTCCGAAACTTCCGATGAGGCGGTGTTTAGTATCTAATGTCGCACCACCTGAGAAAAAGCCCCGTAGAATCAGTGGATTGGGCACCGATGCTGCGCAGCATGATTGTGGTAATTCTCAAGAACGTACTCATGAAGGAAAAACTCGGAAGGAGGATGCGGCACGGAGCGTACGAAAGCGATCACAAAATGCTACAAACGCAGATGAATTTCTCGCTAATCGCCGCAGAAGTATTTCTGGTGAAATGGCAACCAGGGATACTAAGGATAAGATTATTAATGGCATGGTAGTCAAAGAGGAAGAGACTAAACCAAACACCGAGAGAACCTTCATTCGAAAAACTGAAAAGAAAGCAGTAGTGGATAAGAAAGATGACGAAGGTAGAGATAATAAGATTGTGAAGATATACAAGAAGGAAACTAGTACCAACGGACATTCTTCTCACAAAATTGTCAAGAAAGAAGAGAAGGTTGTAGAAGCAAGTGACGAAGATTCCGACGATAGTTTTGAGAAGAAAGTCGCCAGAGGCCGGCGCCCGAAAGAGGTGGGAGCTCCCAACTTACTTTAATGCACAATAATTCTGAATCTGCAGTAGCTCGTGTAGTTTGCAGGGGAGGGGAAGTGCATGAAGAGCTTCGAACATTTGTACCAATTTTTTCCGAGTTTTCTCAGGGCTCTGTGTGTTTGCTTTTCCATGCTTCTTGTACTGATAGTATTTTTGGTGAGTTTCTGAGAATTGTTTCTTGTTGTAGGTTGATTTGCCTCAGTGGTTACATCAATAAAGAACTTACACTGTTTGCACAATCTGCTTGGTTTTCACCATGAAGCCCTGGGTGATTTGAGATAATACACAATTCACAGTGCGGGGTCATATATACTAAACTAGTAGTACCTAGGATTATACAGTTTGGTTGCTAGAGCTGACAATGTGATGCTTTGTGGTGTTAGTGCAAATGGAAGAGTGTAGATAAGGATGACAATCGGAATGGAAAGAGCAGAATGTGCCATCAGTGTCAGCGAAATGATAAGAATCGTGTGGTGTATTGCACCAAATGCGATTCGAAGCGGTATTGCGCTCCCTGTATCAAGGCCTGGTATGGTATAAGTGAGATTTGACTGCTCCTTGTTGTCACATGCTTCTGTTTGTTTTATGACTTTCTTCATTGTGTGGACGGCATAAGTGAAGACCCTCGACATGTGTTTTCATAGGTACCCGCGTTTGACAGAAGCTGACGTTTCTAATGAATGTCCTTTCTGCAAAGGAAATTGCAACTGCAAGGCTTGTCTTCGAACTGATGGACCAAAACGGGTAAGCATATGGATGAGCTTGACCTATTGGTAAGAAACGCTATGATTATTTCGGGGTTCTGGAAATAATATTCGTTAAGCAACGGTCCTGTGGTTGTTTGCGAGCAGATTGTCAATGAAAAAACTGAAGCAGAGAAGACTAAGTTCTTCAAGTACATGCTGGCTGAAGTGCTTCCTGTTCTGAAGCAAATTGAGCAAGAGCAGAAGGAGGAGTTGGAAATTGAGCGTAGGATTCAAGGTGCTTTTGAATCTATTGATTTTATCACCCGCTGCTCCCTTAAAGATCATCTTTGAGTTGTAGAGTATTTTGTGGGTGAACTGATGAGATGCATACTTTACATACAGGAGCAGAAGAAGTCAAAGTCGAAAGTGCCAACGTATTTGTGGATGAGCGAATATATTGGTATTAATGCTTTCGCAATTTAATCATTTTTTTTTCACGATTGTTCAGCCGCTTGTGGATTACAGACTATCGGGAGGAAAAAAAATCAATTCCAGGCTTTTGATAAACTTGATATCAAACTCGTGCAGTTACCATTAATGATTTCGCGTCTCCTTAGAAAAGAGTGGCAATTGTTTTGAACACGTGAACCTTAACGTATTTGACTTAGTGGACGTTTCCTTGCTGGAGGTGGATAGGCCTGCAAACTGGATGAAGCCTTTCAATAACATACTCTCTTGTGAATTGTTGCAGTGATAACTGCAGCACATCTATTGTGGACTATTTTCGGAGCTGTGAAGGTGGCGCTCCATGTGAGTGCACTTATGATTTGTGCTTAACCTGCTGTCGTGAGCTTCGAGCAGGCTTGCAACCAGGCGGAGAACAAGCAGAGTCTGCTCAACAGCACTCTGAAGCAGTGTTGACGAGAGATGAGTTCGAGCTTGAGGACGAGGAAGACCCTCAACGGGACTCTTTGCAGCATAGAACGGATGTGCGGGACGAAGACGAAGATATGCAGGACGATGAGAATAATGAAAAACTAGCTGCATCATCAGGAGATATGGCAGAGGATAAGTTCCCTGATGCTGTGAAAGCCTATGCGGTAACACAAGTGCCTTCGGGAAGTCTTGCTAGAGAAGGAAGAAAAGTGTCAGCAGTGAGAGCTTCAAAAGAAGAGGGTGATAGAACCTTCGGAGATGACGCAGATGTAATTGTGGCAAATGAGTCGTCACAACAGGGTGAAGTTGATATTTCAGAACCAAAGCGTAGCCAACTATCAAAACCAAGGATAATACTAGGTGCTGAAGTGATTGAAAAGCCTGCCGATGTGAGAATGAAGAAGGAAATACCAGCAGAGGTAGTTGGACCCAACTCTTCAATGAATCCCAAAGCAGATAAAAAGAATAGTAAGTACAAAGAAGTTGCTCATAATTTAACACAGCAGGGTGTTGAAGGTGTGGTTGCTGGAGAACAAATGTCGCTTGTGAATGACGGGGTGCTTTCTCTTGAACCTGTCCTTCCAACTTGGACTCCACTTGAAAACGGCGATATTCCTTGTCCCCCGAAAATGAGGGGTGGCTGTGGGTGTCATACCTTAAGACTGAAGTCGCTTTTTGATCAGAATTGGGTTTCTCGGTTGATTAAGGAAGTTGAAGAACAGCTCAAGGGTTATGAGGGCTTAGCGAAAGAGGACAGTTCTTGCTCAAAGTGTATGAACGGTACCAAGAGCGCTAGTTTACGATTAGCCGCTCATCGGCCAGATGATAAGGATAACTATCTTTACTGTCCTACGCTACTGGAGACTGAGACAGATGGATTGTCACATTTTCAAAAGCACTGGAGACAGGGACAACCTGTTATTGTGCGAAATGTGATGGAGAGTGCTACGGGCTTGAGTTGGGAGCCCCTAACAATGTGGCGAGCTCTTAGGGAGCAAACCCGAGGCAAATGCAAAGATGACAGCAAAACCGTCCGCGCTGTTGATTGTTCAAATTGGAGTGAGGTTAGATCAAAGTTGTTCTGTAGTTTTTAGTTTGTATTGTGTTTTTATTTTATTTTACTTTATTTTTTTCCCCTTAAACTTAGATTTTATTGTGTTTATTCTATGTGTTCGACGGCATATATCTTAACCTCGAATTGCTGAGTGCAGAAAGAGTTGAATTTTCATAAGTTCTTCACGGGCTACGAAAAAGGGTGGTTTGATAAGAATGGGTGGCCTGTTATGTACAAGTTAAAAGATTGGCCACAATCTGCACGTTTTGAGGAGCGGCTTCCACGCCATGGAGGTGAATTTCTTGCCTGCCTGCCTTATCAAGAATATACGGATCCCAAGGCTGGCATTCTTAACCTTGGTTCAAAGCTTCCAGAGGAAGCAGTAAAACCAGACCTCGGCCCCAAAACGTATATTGCTTATGGTATACGTGAGGAGCTTGGACTAGGGGATTCAGTGACCAAATTGCACTGCGACATGTCAGATGCGGTACTTCTTCTTAAAAGAGTTTACTTACTTTTGTGTGCTGTTTCTGTAGCCAGTGTAGGTTGCAGCTTTCAGAAGCACATTTCAATACGTTGTTGATGAGAATTGTTTGTAGTTAAGTGGGAAGCCTATTCAGGTGGTGTCGTGTGGGTCTCACGATGTCGCATGGAACAGGTGAATGTGTTAACACACTCGAAAGAAATCAAAATCTCCAAAGGCCACAGAAAAGAGATCCGTAAACTACGTGACCATTACAAGAAATTAGCAGTAGAGCAAGTGAATGAATTCCTTGCTAGAACAAACTCACAAGCGGCAGCAAACACAACTAACATAGATGATGACATGCCTTCGCATCCATTTAGTGGTCCAAATTCTTATATTGAAACCATGGTCGATGCAAATGGTGCCGAGAAAATTGTGAGGACTGATTTGGTAATAGAGAGGAAGGGAGATGCCACGGCCGCTACTGATGTGAATGAGGTTAAAACTTATGGCGGAGCCTTATGGGATGTATTTAGGAGAGAAGATGTGCCCAAGTTACAGGAACACTTGATTAAACATGTGGCGGAATTCCGGCATTATGGTGATTTGCCAGTTGACGCTGTAAGTCTCTTTCCAACTCCGCACCCATTTTCTTTTGATGCATCAACTTAGTGTTTGTTATACTGACCATGTAGAGTATTGGAATTCTAAAGCTGCTACGTGCGATTTTTCCTATTGAGTGATGTCTATATTAATGGCCATATGCAGGTTGCGCATCCCATTCACGATCAATCCTTTTATCTTGACGAAGAGCACAAGAAAAAACTGAAAGAAGAATTTGGTGAGGGTTATTTTTTGATTGCAATATTTTCAGTTTCATTCCTCAATGAGTGTTCTGAATCAGGTTCTGTTCAGAAAATGGACCCTGTAGTTGGCCTGCCTACGTTGATATTATTCCTCTGCTTAGGGATGAAAAGACTCAACCCAAAACAGAGCCTGGATTCAGCCTTTCCCTATGCTGCCTCTATCAATTTTAAATGTTTATAAACTCAGCGTTCCTGATCTGTGTAGGGGTCGAAGCATGGACATTTGAACAGCATGAACAAGAGGCAGTGTTTATTCCAGTTGGCTGTCCACATCAAGTTCGCAATTTGAAGGTAATTGGGGCTATTTATCATGAGGTTTGCGTTGCTATTTTAGATGAAGGCAGAGTCTAACTGGCTGAGCGACAACTGCTTGGGTGCAGTCCTGCATTAAGGTAGCTATGGACTTCGTTTCTCCTGAGAACGTTCAAGAGTGTGTGCGATTGACAAATGAATTCCGACTGCTCCCTATGGATCATCGAGCAAGAGAGGATAAGCTGGAGGTATGTTACAGTTCAAGTTTTCCTCAGCTGTATGGAAATCGCTAGTAGCAGAAATCATGCTTGCTGCTGAGACATTGGGAAATCATTAATGTTCACTTGTTGCTATTTCTAGGTGAAGAAGATGATATTTTATGCCGCTCGTGAAGCTGTTGTGCATCTGCGGGACAAATCACTGTAAGCTTTCTTTTTGAAGCAAACTCTATTATCTAACAAGGTTTTCTATGTGCTCATAGTTTTCTATAAAATTGCATGGGTGTAGCCGGTAGCTTCACGTTAACAATCAAAATTTTGAATCGTGAGCATTATACACAAAAATCATTTGTGTATATGTGGTACTTTTTGTTCGCATTTGAGGGAATAACTAAGCCTTTGTATCGGGAAAGGGAATTAAATGCTGTTATTTATTTATTTATTTATTTATTTGTATAGAACTTATTTGTACTCTTCTCTAGATAAATTTATATGTATCTAGATGTTGAATTACACTGGATACTTTGTTCTTAATCGTTTAAACCTTGCTGTGGTATGCAGACGAGAGAAATTGGAAGAGAGAGTATACAAACGAAGCCTAATCAAGAGGACAAAGAATCGAAGACATTTCTAGTATCCTGGATTGCTTTTAATTAGAAGGCATTGCTGTACAGGCGATCTTCTATCAACAGTTGCAGAATTAGTCGTTAAGCTAATCCATTATTGGCCACCTGTTCTGGCTAGAGAGTTAAGTCTCTCGTCTTCGTTGTTGTTCAAGTCATAAATCACGCCACTGTTCTTTACTCTTGCAAGAGGATTTATACATGGAAACTAGCCTCAGATTTCAGGCTTATTGTTTTTATTGTTGAGGATTATTGTAAACTCATTAGTATTTGTGTATCAGCTGAATGTTTGTTGTACTGACCATGTAGAGTATTTTGAGTATGACCATGTAGAGGATATGATTTTTATATTAAAAATATCTTTATTTTTTAAATGAGGTTGTCATAAGTTGTGCGTTAGGAGCGGCAAACGACCCAACATTTCTTGTGCGCTGTACGCTGTCGATCAGATGGTTTTCCTGGCTCTTTAATATGGTGTGTACAAATCTAACAATGGAAGTGCACAACAACGAAGCTTGGAGAAATGAAATGCTAAGTTTCTTCCCGGTTTAACTCCCCAAGTGTCGTGCTAGTATATTTTGATTCTTATACTTCAAGTTAGAGGAACCTCCACGTGGTGCAGGATTCGATTCCATAACCCAGTTGTGACGATACTTCGCATCTGACCCATGTGAAACCGAGCTGGACAACCTGTCTGCTTGCAACATTTTATCAATCTAATATTGACCTAAATTTGCCCGAAGGACTGCTTCATAAACCTGAAATCTCACAGAATTTATTTATTTAATTAATTATTTTCCCCCCTCATCAGGACACTTTAAACCTTGAGAGAAAAACAAATGTCACTGACATAACACCAGTACACATACTAGTGTATGGGCCATGAACAGACCGACTTAGGCGACAGAACCCATGTACCTTACCCATCTTACAACTGTGGCGAGTTCCTGCGTCGTCAAGGTTCTTCATCTCCAGCGCTACTCATTGGATTGATTCGTGAAGCATGTCAGCCCATTGCATGCGGGTCCAGAACGTCTGAATCTGCACACAGGCCACCACGTTTGCCGGTCGAAGATGCTCTCTCTTGTCCCCAAAAAGATGGGCAAACGCTTCGCAACCCAGGAAAAGATGCTCTCGCCCAAACCAAAATTGTGCGTGAAATTTTATACCAGTCGTGAGGAAGTGGTTATAGGGTGCGGTTCTTCACTTACTAATTTAGTTATTTAACAGTAAGCTTGAGAAAACACAATAGGAAAAAAAATACATTTTACAAAAAGATATTATTTACATTTGTGTTTCTATATCTATATACTAGTTTCCACTAATGCCATTGGCCACGAAAAATATTTACTGAAAATTATGATTAGGAGCTTATGAGCTACATGTCTAGTGATCTGCTCAGTAATCTGCAGCTGCAACAACAATAGACAGATTTTGATCTCTGGTTGATCAAAAAATGAGTTATTGCTTCATTATTGCTTCACTTTTGATAAAAACAATGAGATATACAACCAATTAGAGATGTTTTTTTTGTCTCCTTTGGTTTATACCATTGTTTTATCCCTTGAGTTGTTTTATGTAAGAAATATCCAATTGAGAGACTATGGAATAAGAAACAATACAACTGAAAATAGTTTTTGAACTTGCAGTATTGGCCTTGATGTTGATGAATAAAAGACATAATCTTTGTTTGGCTTCACAACTTCCTATTCTTCCATTCTCTTATCTATATAACTTTCTCATTTATACAGGATATTTTTTTTTTATTTCTATTATAAGTTCAATATAATTTATTTAAATTCTGCTTTCATGTTTTAATGTTCGATTAAAGAAATGTAGAAATGAGATATCTAAGTTATTCAATTAAACCTATACAACGGTCATTGTTGAAAATTAGCAATCGAAAGATACTAAACCTTCATTTCTTTTTAAACTATTGACTGGTAAGAATTAAACAAACTACTTGTGGAGACAAACATTTTTGCACAGAACGGATTCGAAGCCTGGAACTCAATTTGTTTAGTTCAGTGGCGAGGGAATGGAGGCCCAAGCTCGCCAAGTGGTAGAGCGACGCACCGCCACTCCTCAAATGGATCCAGCCCTCCGTGGCGCCGCATGGTTTAATCTAACCGGGGCCGCCATGCCAAGCCCTACACGTCGCCAAAGTGAGGGAGCCACGGAGTCTGACTGTTGCTGTCATGGCTGAAAGTGCAATTCAAGTTGAGGATCTTCGGTTACTACCGAAGATCGACGTGATTCGATTTGCTTATATGTAGCTATCGAAGGCAGCTTTAATTATTTTCATCGGGCAATTTTGGTGCAGCAGATTGACATTGCATTACTCCGACGCGAGTTCTGTGTGTGCGTGTGAGAGAGAAAGAGATCATCAATTTAGATTTTGCAGTGAGGCGAAGAACCTGCTGAGAGATGTTGGCCATGGAATCTCAACAGAATGATAAGGCTTTGAACCTCGCCAAGCAGGCGCTGGAATCTCATGCTAAGGAGACGCAGGATAAGTTTGGCGGGCCTGAGAATAGTTCGGTCGTTACTGCCCAGATTGTCGTGCCATCGCAGGTCGGAAAGAAGGCCGAGGAGGTATGTAATGTCGTGTCTTTGGAATCATTATATAAGTTTGGTGATAAATGTTGGATGAGAAAAGACGTGACACGATTTATTGATTGGATCTACAATTCGTCTGAGGCACTCGATTGGTGAAGCTTTCTTGAAAATGAAGAGTGCGCCATCCTTTGCATTCGTTATTGTGACGTATAAGCATTCTGCAGTTAAGGGAAAGGATCTGAGGTTAAGTGTGCGGAAGTTCGAGTAATATACTGATGAGCCATAACTGACAAAGAGTTGTGTTCACTGATGATTCAGAAAATTGCGTATTTACAATCTGAAAATGATAAGCTGAAGAAGTCCCTGAAAGACTGCGAAGAAGCGCTTGCCAGGGCTAACTTTGAGACTGAGAAATCTAACAAAGTAGCTCTAGAAGCTAGGGCTAAGAACTCTGAGTTGGAAGCTCGCGTCAAGGATCTGGAGAGAGAGGTTCAAGGTGCTGGTGCCAAGGCCGCTGAGCTTGAGCTTCAATTGAAGACGTCAGATGAGAAGTTCGCCGAAGCTGTGAGGAAGATGAAAGAGTACCAATCCAAGCTCGGGCAAATGGAGCAAACAAACGTGAAATATGAGGAGGATTTAGTAGATGTGCAAACAGGCTTGCAGGACAAGGATATGCAGGTTGAGGACTTGAGACATCGGCTGGCTGGTAGGGAAGCCATCCTTCAGAAGAAGGAAGCTAAGATTAGCGACCTTTCCGATAAGGTGAGTCCAGTCCTGTTCAAAATGTCAGTTGCAGTCGCTTGAGGGACTGATAACCTTCATGGATTTTTCACATATTCAATTCATTCCTTGCAGATGAATTGCAAGCAGTCTATAGCATCGATCTATTGTTATTGCTGTACACAGTTAAGGCTTGTGCAGAGGTTCTGACAGATATCCCTCGTGTGCGAATAGGCTGATGAATTCAAGTCGCGCGCAATTCCAGCTGAAGAGAGGGCCTCAGAGCTTGATTTAGTTGCCACAGACCTCAAATATAAAGCTGAGAGTGCAGAATCAAAACTTACACAGGCCGATGAGGCGAATCAAAGGACAACGGCCTCAGCTGAGGAGTACGAGGAGGAGCTGAAGAGATTTGTTTAACGCTGTAATATGTTGTCTGATTCACTCGACAATGAGAAGCAAAAGACTGTCACCCTTCAGTCCGAAATTGAGGACATGAAGAAGAGATACAATGCCAATGCTGCGCATGCACGTGTGTTGGGTGAGCGCATTGCTGAGCTAGAGAAGGTTTTTGGTCAAACTTAGAAAGAAATTGGCGAAGTTGAATCCGACAAGAGGGAGTTGGAATCTGAGGTTGTGACTGAAAAGAAGGAAAAGGAAGCTGTTGGCAACGAAGCCACAGAACTGAAGCAGGAGAAAAGGGGATTGATGGACACCATTGATGACTTTAAGAGCAGGATGCTGGGAGCATTTTCTAAGGCAGAGGAGAAGGAGGCTAAGGCTGAGGAAAAGGATGTTGAGGTTGCCAAGAAAGAGCAGGAGCTTGAAACCACTGAGGAAAGCCTAGACGCTGAGGCCACGAGGGCGCAAAAAGAAGGAAGAAGCTGAAAAAAGCCTTTCCACTGAATTAGACGCCACCAAATCAAAAGCTGCTGCTTCGAAAACGGCCGCCAACAAACTGCAGGAGAAGGAGGCTGCTCTCTCCACTAAAGATGATGATTTGAAGAGTCATTATGATCGCCTCACAGAGTTGAGTACTAAACTTAAGAACCTGCGCATCGAACGTGACGAGGCAGTAGAGAAGGCCGAGACCGAAGGACACAAGGTGAAGGCCTTGCAGGACAAAATTTTGGACCTAGAGCAAGAAGTCGAGGCTATGCACATGAGAAACGGGGAGCTTGAGAACCAGCTTCGAATGGTCGGGGTTCAAGTGGAGCAGCACAAAACCGCCATCCAGGGCCATGAGGAGGAAGCTATCAAGAAGAGCGAGAAGGCAGCCCAATTGCAGGAGCAGATGAAGGAGACCAAGAAGGGTGTGAAAAGCGAAGAGAAACAGTTCGTGGAAAACGTGCAAGTGAATGCAACAACTACAAATAATGCTTAAATTGATTGATCCCAGCATGTACATGATGCCGTGAGGTTTGGCATTCATGCAAGTCAACACATCACGGGATCACGCCGTCATGGTTTTCTGGAAACCTACACGTCTGGGCTAAGTAACATCAAGCCCATCGAGAGTCATCAGTGTACACACGGTAGTAGAATCTGTTAGATATACACGTGATGCTGTGGCGGAGCATATATGGACATTCCTATTTTCTTATCACAGCGGATACAAGGTTCTGATACATCGTTGGCTTATACCAGATTCTCCCATCTTAAATATGTCGTAAAGTATTTGTGACCGCTGTGCGATTAAGCGCTCGAATTTGTGAAACATCAACCGGATTATGTGATGGGTAATGAAAACAAAACCTTCCACGAGGGGATTCTGTCACATTACTGTATACATCATCTCAATCAATTGGAAAAATAAAGGGAATTGTTGGATTGATCCACCGTTTTGTAAATGGACCCATCTCATGACTAGCTTAATTTTTGTACATGTTTAATGGTTCAAAATGATTTTCTTTCAAGTCCCACCAAATGGCTGATGTAGTACCAGGTACGATGATGTAGTATCAGGTACGATTATGTTCTTGTAGCAGGAAGAAAGGACACCACATTTTTGCACACCAGCTCATATACTTTCTACCTAAGGTCTAATGGTTTTGATTAGAATTAGGCCAATTCAATATAAAAAACTTGAAATGCAATTCACAATCTATTTGTAGTAGTTGAAAGTTTGAAGTCTCACTTGAATCCACCTCTAAAATAAATAGAAGACTTGCTTTCCACGCATCTACTACTATAGGGATCATTTGAAGACATGAAATAATTGACTAGTTGCTTGTTTGAGCTGAATGAGTCAGATTTGTAAGTTAAATGCTAGCATTTAAAGTTCAAAATAGAGAACACAACTATGCACCTTCTGCATCAATAATAGGCTATTTGATTGGTCATCATCTTAAGCTAACATAGAAAGAGATGATTACTTGAATGTTTACTATAAAAGTAGCCTCAAAGAATGTTGTAATTATATTACATTACGAACTCTACAATTCACATTATTACTTCTACCATCTACAACAAGGACTAGTTTCTATGTAAAATTGATCTTAATGACCATCCACCTATTCCCACTCTTATAGAAAATCTTTAAGGCACTAGATAATAGAATGCACACAAGTGTAATGCAATAAATAAAATATATTTTTATTTTTTTGCACACTTCAAATGTGTTCAATTTATAGGGAGGTATTATCATGGATATACATAGATATTCTAATAAATACTTATATGATTAGGTAGAAGTAGGTAAAAGTAGGTTAATTTCATAATATCTTTTAGTGAGTCTTCTTAGAAGCTTAATAGACCTTGCTTTGACTTTATATGTATTTGTAGTTGATTAGTAGGTTAGAAACTTGGTCAACAAAATTATGTATTGATAGCTTGCGGAACAAACTAACTATAGGGCACACATATAGAAAACTTGCTTTGTAAGTTAAGATATGTGTCTTGCAAAGTCAACACGTTTTGGAGGTTGTATAGGTAATTGCCATGTAGCTCCTAATTAAGAGTATATATGGAGGTAAGAGTGAAGCCTTCTTCACTCTTGTCAACATCTTTCTAGTTCTTAGTCTTATTTCAAGACTTTCTAGTCTTCTTGTCTTTGGCAATAGCCATTCTAGTTCAATAATATATCATCTTTGAGTGACTTTTTAGTTCTTTTCAATATCACAAGAATGTATTGAAGATTTCTTTCTTCAAGATTCATGTCTGACAATTTGATAAGAATGCTAACTTACTATTTTTATTTTATTTTAGAAGTGAGTGGATTAGTATCATGGACATATATTTATCTTAATAATTATCTAGATAATAATAATAGGTAGAAATAAATCATAGTAGATAAATATGATAATATCTTGTGGAAAGCTTCTTAGAATCTTCATTGATGCTACTTTACCTTTATACATTTCTATAGGTGATTGATAGGTTGAAAACTTGGCCAACAAGGAGGCCACATGCCAACATGTTGACCATTTGTAGTACAAGTTGGACATATGGTGCATACCTAGGAAACTTGCCTTGCAAATTAAACATGCGTTCTGTAAATTGGACTCGTATTAGAGGTCCTATAGCATGTCCCTACATAATTCATAATTAAGTAGTACATATAGAGGCAAGAGTGAGGCCTTCCTCACTCTTGTCAATTCTTTTCTTGCTTTTAGTTTAGTTTCAAGAGTCTTATGTTTTCTAATATTTTGTAATAGTCATTCGAATTCTTCATTGAATATACATACTTTCTTCTATTTTGTTACTTTCCTTTTGATACAAATTCCACGAGTTTATGTATCTTCTTCTAGTTTGTATCCTTGACAAATTGACAAGAATACACATATAATATTAGAGCTTTGTCCTTTCTTGATTAAGAGTGGATTATTCTTTTTTCTTGATAAGACATAAGCATATTAGAAGTTGCAGATTATCCTTTTTTAAATTGATATTGTTTCTAGATTTTTTTTTTTGATTTTTGAATATTATATTTTGTGAAAATAAACACATTTTTTTTTTTTTTTTTTTTTTTTTCTTTCTAGCATGGTAGAGCTTGCTGAAATGAAGAGTACAATGACTTAAATGCAAGAGCAAATGAGAGAGTTAATGCTTGCAATGCATGAACTCAGTCTACCACCACAAAGAGCAATAAGATTATCAAGCAATGAAGATATAGAGATGATTGGAGTTGCTTCAACATCTATACCAAGCCATACTACTGCTCCTACAACAAAACATCGTTCAAGTTTCAAGGAACCAAAAATTTGATTGCTTGAGAAGTTTGATGGCATAAGATCTAAGTTTCAAGGATTCATCAATTAGATACAACTAGTGATTAAGCTACAACCTCAAAGTTATCCAACTTAAAGATCATAAGTTAGGTTTATTAAAATAATAATTTTAGGTTTTTCTTTATTATGGTTTTCATCATTTCTTGAATGATATGATCTAATATTGGATAATTTGGAAGCATTCTTAGCGGAGTTTTGATCTATGTATGGAGAACATGATGCAATCTATGTTGCAACCAATAAGATTTGTATCTTGTAATAAGGAAATCGATTAGTGACATTATATACTTCACAATTTTGCCAATTAGAGACAGATATCAAGTAGAATGATGTAGCATTCATCAACCAATTTCTCTATAAATTATAATATGAAGTAAATAAATTGATGCTCAATTTACTTAATCCTCAATCATCAAGTCAAGTAATTGACTTTGCTGTAAAATGTGATAATCAACTTTTTGGGTTTTGATCTGAGAATCGTACAAGGAAACCTCAATGTTATTAGAATTCAATGACAACACCAATGACTTCTCAATCTAAACATTTGGAAGTAGAAGACATGCAAATTGATGCAGTACATTTTAAACTTCTTATCAAGCAAGAAAACACTCATCATTATCAAAAAGGATTATGTTTATATTATGGAGAAACTAGATACACTACTTAATATTGTCCAAAAAAATGATGCAACTACAAAATGAGGAGTACTGCTATCAAAGATAAAAACATGTTGGAAAACAAATTTGTCTAGCTACAATAGGGACCGTGTGGCTGAAATCTTCTACAATTCCTAATGAAGGTCCTATTCTCTCCTCAGAATCCTCTCTTTGTTTTATGATAGATCTGTATTTAGGATCTAATAATCACAAAGCCTCTGTCTTAATAGATTCAAGACTCTCAACTTGTTTTTTAGATCAAATTTTTTTAAAAGTCATAATGTACACTTCTTATAGATGTAATAATAAATAGTCATAATAGTTGCATAATTTTTAATATAATTACATCTCTTTCTAATCAAATCATTTTATATTTATCATGACTAAAAAAATATAATCTTGTGATAGATTAGATTTCTCGTAAATTTGACTTTTCTTCAAACATCATTAAGAATTTTTCTAATCCAGTAGAAAGCCATAAGTCTAGTATAGGCAAATCTATACTTGTAGGCAGAAAAGCTTTTTTGTATGCTGCAAAAGAAGGATAGTCTTTTGTAATTTATCCCACATTCATTTTAAATAATAGAAAGATTTCAAGTAAAATTCCAAGTCAATATTGAGATTTTCAAGATATTTTTGAGAAAAAAAATGGAGATATTCTCTCGGAGTATTATCCATATGATTGCTCAATCGATCTTAAAGAAAGAACTTAGCTGCCATTTGGTCCAATCTATAGTTTATCACAAAATGAGTTAGCTGATCTCAAGAAGTACATTGATCAGAATTTGGCCAAGAATTTCATATGCCATTCAAAATCTCTTGCAAGAGCTTCTATCTTATTTGTGAAGAAAAAAGATAGATTATTGCGAATGCGTGTGAATTATCTAGGACTCAATAAGATTACCATAAAAAATAAATGTCCTCTGTCTTTGATATTTGAACTTCTTGATCAATTAAATAAAGCTAAGAACTGTACAAAAATAGATCTACAAATAGTATACAATCTGGTCTGCATTTAAGAAGGAGATGAATGGAAGATTGCATTTTGAATAAAGTATGGAAATTTTTAATATAATGTCATGCCTTTTGGACTCACGAATGTACCAACTGCTTTTCAACACCTTATGAATGATTTTTTTTGTGAATTTCAAGATGATTTTGTTGTCTGTTACTTAGACAACATTTTAATCTATTCTAAGAATATTGAAGAATATGAAATTCATGTTTGTCATGTCTTACAAAAACTTAGAGATGTAAGATTATACACCAAGATGGAAAAGTGTATATTTCATACTACTCAAGTTGACTTTTTAGAATATATCATTTCAAACAATGGTCTAATGATGGATCTTGAAAAAATTCACATAATCATGGATTGAAAGATTCTATAAACAATAAGAGATGTATAATGCTTTTTGGGATTTTTTAATTACTATTGAATCTTCATGAAGAACTTTTCTCAAGTTGTAGTGTCATTTATATACTTAACTTGTAAAGACAAGCTTAATAGGAGTAAAGAAGCAAAAACATCATTTGAAGCTTTGACAAAAGCTTTTACTTTTGCACTTATCTTACATCACATTGACTTCTTCAAAGTATTTTTTATGGAGACAGATGCATTTGACTTTGCCTTGGATGCAATCTTCTCACAAATAAGAGCAGATAACAAACTTCATCCAATAACTTTTCATTCAAGAAAATTTTGAGCAGCTAAGATTAATTATGAGATTCATGACAACGAACTTCTTGCAATTGTGGATTTTTTTCAAGAATGGCATCATTATTTAGAAGGTGCTTCAAGTCTAGTCATTGTTGCCATACTGTAATTGCTTATAGTATGTAAAAATTAATTAAAACATATAATATATTTGTAAGTCTTGATGTAGATTAGAGTGGTTAGTAAATAAATTTAAAGAGAATTCATATAAAAAAATTTATTTGGAAATTTATTTATTTTGATTATAA